ACTTAAAATCTCTTGTGAATTATCTTTTTACCACCATTACCCTCGTATTAATGGAGCCCAAAGCCTACATAGAAGGGCATTTTTTACTTTTTAGTTCAAAAAATAAAAAACGCTCCTAAAAACTTGAGAATTGAAATCTGAATATTAAAACCACCATATCTCTCTCCCTCTTATGCTTTGCACGGCTATTTCCAAAACAAAAAAAAAAAGGGAAACAAAGGGCATTCACCAAAGAGCCTATGTGGTTCCATTTCGACTTAGAAAAAGATATATAGAAAAGTTCGAGAATAAAAATTAAAAATACAAAACCATGAGCCGTTGGATCAAGATATGATGGCTAAGAAAATCAGGGGTTACATGTGTAGAAAGCTATCGCAAGATACCTTGAGCCACCGCCTGACATTCGGTTGCAGGCTTGTAACTTGAGCCACCATTTTTCTGAAGTTGCTCCTCATACCGTTGGCGTCGCTATCCCCATTGCTGGGGTAATCATGCCCTTTTGCAACTGCATTCCGAGGTTTGACACCAAGTTTCCAGGATTGTAACTTGAGCCACCGTTTTCTTGCATTGCTCCTCCCTACTCTGGTGTTGGGAACTCCATTGCATGTCGACACAGTGGCGTGGCCAACCTCAGAGTTGGCGTCGCTGGTCATGGTGTTGGCCTGGGGTCACTGGCTAAGCTATCTCGGACTGTTTCTTCCAAATTGTTTGCTGCATTGGGGTTGTTATTGGTCTGTTGGGGATCCTCGTTGAAGTTCTGAGCTTGATTTTGAGCCCCATAGGGGGTATGGTTTTCAGGATACTGGTTTTTAGGGTTCTGAGCAGTCCTAGGGTTCATGGTGGCTAATATGGGCTCCTTCGGTATCCAGCTGAGATTAGGGTGTCTATAAAAGGGAACTAATCCAAAGCCGATGAAATTTTGGTAGCACCTACCCTGTAGGAATCGGTCGGTTGGGGTCTGATGGAAACAAGGCCACGAGTACTGCCTTAGAAGAGCCTCCTTAATGGGCTCGATTGATGGGCATAAGTGGGCTTAGGTAGGTGTCCCCAATGAGCAGTGTTAGGTGTGGTTAAAGTATGGGAGCTATAGTTAGAATTAGGGTTAGGGTTAGGGTTGGGTTTGTTAGTTTGGGTTAGGGTTTAGAAGGGTGATTCGGTTAAGGTTTGAGAGGAGGGTTTGGTTGGGGTTAGGGGCGGAAGGTTGATTCGGCTGGGTTAAAGTTGAGAGGATAGTTGGGTTAGGGTTAGGGTTTTGACAACCTTGGTTAAGACAGGGACTTAACCAAGACGGGTTAGGTTTGGATAACTAGGGTTGGTTTATTAGGGTTTGGGTAAGAGTACGATCTTTTGCAAAAAGAATTTCTTCTCATCTCAAGCAAACAAAAAGTATCAACTCCCAAATTTCATTAAAATGAACTCCTACCTTCCAAGCTTTTATAAATGAGGGGTTAACCCCTTTTATAGACTCTATACAAATATAAGTGCATAATCAAAAGAAAGGGCGAAAAGATGAGCAAGCACAGTCCCACTGTAAGGTGCATGAGCGCATGCCCACGTAACAAACCCACAATAAGGTGAATGAGAACATGCTCACATTAACTGTCATGATAGGCCATAAGAGCTTCGGATCTTCTAGTCTTTTATTGCCTTATTCTATTGTTCTTTCTTTATTTTTGCTTTATTAGTTGGAAAAAATTAATTTCATTCATCCATTTATTTACTTTAATAACACCCTTTTTCATTTATGAACTCTTTCATTGCAAATTATAATGTCCTTCATGGTGAAATTCAGTGGAGAATGGACTAATTTCATATTATTTGTCAGGCCACACTCTCTTACTTGGTATTGAATGTAGTCTTTTCTTGTGTCTGGACTTGGATTTGGAGTTCCAGATCCAAATCCAAGTCCAAACACAAGAAAAGACTACATTCAATATTTACATTCAAGAAAAGTAAGGTATTTGCAATTTGTCATGATATTTACATTTTCAATGTTCTTTGTTCATTGATATATTTGCAATATGTTATGATGTGTTTGAAGTACATAGTTATTTAGTCATTCACAATGTGATTCTTATGAGATTATTGTTGGCCCTAACAATGTCATCTCATTCTATAAGTAATCGAGGATGTACAACTCGACAATGTCTTAAGTACAGTATAGATTGTGCTGCGACAGCATCGGCAAGCCCAAATAACCCGAACAGGATGTACTATAAGTGTCTATTATGTGGGTTCTTCTAATGGTGTAATGAATATGTTACTGCCGTGTAAAATGTCAATTTAAAGTATTGCAATACACAACAGTGGAATCCAATGGATGAATCAGAAGAACGTGTCATGGTCAATCAAGAAAGAAGTGTTGGCCATGAATACGATAATCGGTGCCTAAGGCATTTGCAACAATTCTTACTCGATGCCTTTGGGTGTTTGCAACAATTTTTGTTTTTTTTGCATTAATAAATGTGTGATTGTTGGTGCTTATCTTTTTTATTTTTGTAGTCCTTATTCGAAACATGTGATAGTTTTTTGAAGTTGTTTTTTTATTAATGTAATTATTTCCATTGTGGAAAGGTTAATATTGTAGTTGTGGAATTCAATTGTCTCCCTCTCTTTCTCTCCTCTATCTCTCTCTCATCCATGAAGAATGAGATTGCTCTCTCTCTTTCTATGTAACTCACTTTTGAAAATTATCCATTGTGATGATTCCAAAGATCTTAGAGAGAAAGAGTGTGTGTGTGTGAGAGTGAGAGTGATGAGTCCAAATGCAGCCTTTGTGTGAACCATCGGGATTTGGTAGCTTAATGTTTTTGACATATGTTTGTTTCATCCGAATAAGTTGGAAGATGTTTGTTTCAATAGGGAGGATACACAACACAAACAAGTAACAACATTTCGATTATAACCTATTGTATTGGACTCTTTGTATTCATGCTTAATGGGCATTTCTGAATTTCTTATACTATGAATGAACTTATAAGGGTAATTAATGAGCATTTCTGAGTTTCTCATTTATATACACTTTTTTTGAAAAAAAAAATTAAATACCGATTGATCACCAAAACCATTGAAAACCGAAAGAAGCTTATTTTACCTCTTTATCTCTAGCCACGAAACCAATCAAAAGACACTTTTTTGGAATCCAAATCTCTCTCTCTCGTTCCACTTGTATATCATTTACCTCAAGCAACACATCCCAAATCCTAAAAAACGTATAGAACCAAAATTAACTTGAAGGGGGTTTAAATGTATTAAATTTGGGATAGTGAAAAATGAAGTGCATCTATAATACCCATTCACGTATCCATGAATTTTTCACTTACTTTGAATTTACATGAATTTACCACTTACTTTGAATGTGCGAAAGGGAGTCAACATGATGATCGGCTAGATCAAATTACTATCGCATATGGAAGCTAGCTAAGGATAAAATATCACCAAAATAAAATTTACATAAGAAAATAAAATTTACACTTTCTAAGTTTAACTCCAAAGAAGAATCCAACCATTATTAAAAATCCATAGAAGAAGATAATAAATGAGAAATTCTTTTCCATAAACCTATTGTTTCTGGGTTGTAGCTTCTTAGTATCTAATTGTTTAGGCTGCTGAGTCCTGCACCATAAGTTACAAATCTGCATACCTCCTTCACCAATCAAAAGAAAGAACAAATTGGACAGGTGAATTTCCATGCATCTGACTGTCCAAAACTTTCCTAAACTCAGTTAAGTCCATGACAGTGGCATCAACTCCATCTTGAATGACGATCAGCAGCAATGTTGCCACACCAGCGACAATTGCCAAACGATAAAAGATCCCCATTGTGAACAAGAATTACAGACATTAAAATCAAAGGCCAAGAATGAAGTCTCTCTCTCCCTCTCTCTCTCTCTCTGATGCACACAAACCATTCTTGACGAGTCTAGGTATCATGTTGATGCCCTTCTCAAGTTCTGTTGGGTCTTGAATGCCTCCTAGGAAGCTGTTCCAGAGGCAAGTTCATTAACAAGTACATCAAACATCATAACACCAGCAGATGTAAATGACATATGACAGTCACACTCAAAGAATATGATACTATGAAAGCTATAAAACATGAGAACTGGTTGAGTTTGAATCAGAGAGAGAGAGAGAGAGAAGGAGAGAGAGAGAGAAGGAGAGAGAGAGACGCAACCAAACAAGCATGAAAATTTGAATGCAATAAAATTTCTTACAATGCAAACAAATACTTGTTTATTGATTAAAATGCAAAACTCTAAAAATTCTTACCATTACTCATCGTATTCCACATTCTCACATGACCCATCCGTGCATCTTATATTGACATTTAACCTAAACGAAGAAAATCCATTTCAAATATTTATAATTAAGGAATTCATATTACCATCACAAAGAGTATGGAAAACGGAGGAATAGTTCATTCATACTTTGAACGTGCGAGAGCTAGACAATTCATTCTGTCATGTCCACTCCCATTGCAAACTGCGCACTTTCGGGTGACTTCTCTTTTGCTTTCGCGTTTGCTTTCTCTGTCTCTATCTCAACCCGAGGTACATATCTATCATTGGTAGGTCTCCCCTTTGTTCGTGCCGAGGGGGCTCAAGGATATTATAGCGTGCATGTCCCTTAACCTCAGCGCGGTTGCTACTGTCGGCATTCATATTCTCTGTACGACTGTTGCAAGGGGTCTTAATAGCACCACATGGCAATACCACACCCACAATCTTGGCCTCAACCATTGCAACTGTACTTGCTATTTCAGACATTATAAATGTATGAAGTTCTACACTTTCTGAAGCATGCTCTGCTAGCACTCTAGTGGCTTGACAAACCTCATTAAAACAAATGGAACGCGGTAGATCAAAAGTACCTTGAATTTGTGAATTTGTTTCCCGTTGGTATCAACTACAACACCTTGCATCACATTTTTCGTCCACCTCTTCATTATGTAATGCAATGGGATTTCAAAAATATTTCTCACCATGAACACCATAATCCTATGCCTACAAATAATGCCTAACCTCTCATACATGTGGCAAGTACAAGAAAAAGTTTTGTCGTTACTATTGAACTCTACAGTGCAGGCCCTGTTTCAGTTCCACGTTTTGATACCTTGAAGATTGCAACTGTGTCATTCTCTTCAATAATTTCACTCATGTAATTGACGTCTTGTGCAACTTCTTCCCCAAACAACGTCATAACTTTGAGTGTATATATCTTCAAAGCGTGAGCCTCGATGTCACACGTGGTCCTCAAAATAGGCGTAGATGTGATGCTATTTAAGTCATTTTCTCTCATCTTAAGAAGTTTTTTACCATGCACTTTTAGAGTAGTTTCCAACAATGTGCACAAGCTTGTATTGGAAGTCACATAATTTTTGAAGTGCTCATTCATTTCTTCTCTTCTTTGAGTCGATGACATACCGATTATGAATGGATCTGCCACGTATGCATCAATCCATTTCTTTCGACATTGGTACAATCTATTGAGCCATTCATTCTGTTGAAGATCATATTTCTCGATTAGAGATTTCCATTCTGACCCAAATTCTTCCTTAGTTTCGCTCATTATACAATTCCTGAAGTGGTCTGGAAAAGATGGACTCCTTCGTAAGACATGACACAAATTTTCTTTGAAAGAATGTGCCACTTACAATAATGATATTTGCTTTTATTGAAAACTTGTCCCACTGCAGCGGTCATTGTAGGATCCTGATCAGTGATAATTACTCCCGGTTGGCGTCCACCGAATGCCTCTAGCCAATTTTCAAATATCCATACAAAAGACTCCACATTCTCATCAAATATAAGTGCAAATCCAAAAAATATTGTGCTAAGGTGGTGATTCACTTCAAGTATGAGAGCAAAGGGCATGTCAAAAGAGTTTGTCTTATATGTGGTATCAAAAGTGACCACATATGAGAACTGATTGTAGAACACCCTTAACATGTCATCTACCCATAATAGGCTGACAATATGATTTTCTTCATCTAATTTCACCTTATAGAAAAAAGATGGATTCGACCTTTTCATATCGATTAACCATTCCATCGGACGGTTCCCATCTTCCCTTTTGATTTTTCTTCTCTTGTTTCCTAATTGGTTTTCGATGTCTTTTTGTGAGCAAGGGATATTAACAATCCCTCCAACTTGCTTTAAAAAGATATTATAGATATTCCGTGACTTTACCAAAGCAGAGCTCATAAAGTTTATCATTGTCTTTGTCGCATCCGACATTGTTCGGTGCAATTGGATGAGTCGGGCATTCCTTGGAGATAAAAGGTCGTGATTGTGATCCTTAACAAACCATGTGACAACCCACTCATTGTTGGCATTTATTCGTACGTACATCTTCGCTGCACATCCAACCTTGACTAAGGGATGTTTTTGTAGGTAACACTTCTTTCACTATACGGAATCCTTCCTTGAAATATATAAATTCCCTAATAGTTCTCTTTCCATCCTTATTGTTGTGAGTAGTTCCCTTTCTAACACCAAACCCATGCACCAATGCAAAAGCCTTGTAAAACTCAAATGCATCATTTTCAGCACCGAATTTCATTCATATATAGGGTTCCTCTATTTCTGAGCCCTTGGACGACCACGCATATTCCCTGTTTCCAAGATTTGTGAACTTATTGGGGGGCGGGGTTGCAAGGAAAGGATCTTGCTCCATGGGCTCTACAGTATCCCCCATGTTGTCATCCTTTGACCATGTGGGGGATACCACACTTTCTGAAATGATGAGGTCCTTCTCAGATACTAAAATTACCCCACACAAAACACATTTTATATGTCAATTAATGACTTCAACACTTCACATATTTTTTAATAAATGATTCGACAAATCATCATAGAGACTTTAGTTAAAGGTGTGGGAACTGAAGCTAAAGGTGTGGGAATTATTTGTCTTGCTCTTTGAAACATGTTAAAGCGTAATAGAGACTTTAGCTTACAAGATCTTGACAGTCGTGTCTGAAAGAATCATCTATGGATAGAGCAAAAACTTTATCACGAACAATGCTTAAAGCATGTATAGAACTGTTATGCATGAAGGATAGTTGATTGCCATTTAAAGTTGGTGCCTATGGGAGATAGAACTGTTATGCATGAAGGATAGTTGATTAGCATATATAGTTTCTGGGTTTCGCTGGTACTAATAGGTCTTTTCTTTGTTTTGTTGGCTACAAGGATTTCTTTATTTTGGTAATCCACTGAGAGAGAATATTTTTTGTGCATGTGGGTGGTCTTTTATTGTTCTGGCAGCTCTACATTGGTCATATTTGATGTAACTTGGGACATACATTGTTAGTGTGACATGATTGATAATATTCTAGTTTCATGAAGTCCTGCTTACTGTTATGATTCAAAAGAAAAAGGAAACATACACTCTTGACTCCTCCCATTGTTAGTGTGACATGAATGATAATATTCTAGTTTCATGAAGTCCTGCTTACTGATATGATTCAAAAGAAAAAGGAAACATACACTCTTGACTCCTCCTGTGCATGCAGCTAATGGTCATTTGATCCTGGTTTCTTATACATCCAAAAGATGCAAAGGATATGTTTCTGCAACTAAAAGATAGTATTGTTGATTTAAATGGTGGAGGGACTGTAACACTCCAGATGATATTAACCACATATTCAAATTGTAGATATCACAGAAAGTATGCTTCAAAATGAACCGAAAGACAGCAGGCAACAACACAAGACCATAGAGAAAGCAATACAAATCATGCAATTCCTGACATCAAAAATTCATACAAACTTTAAACTATCATGTCAAACGATCATAAAAAATTTCCATTATTGAGAAAGCAATACAAGTGATGCAATTGCTGACATAAAAAATTCATCCAAACTTCAAACTATCATGCCCAAACAAACTATTCATCATGGTGAAGAGCAAGAATCTCAGCAATCTGAGATAAAAAGAAAAAGGAAAAACTCTCTCAAAGAGGCAAAGATGGCAATCAAACGAACCCAATTTGTAACGCTTTCAGTTTGAGGGGTTTACATCAATCGATTAGGGCGAAAAAATGAGATGCAAAGGCCCTCGTTTGCGATCCAGAGGCCTGCGAGAGAGAGGGCTTTCTTCTGAGAGAGGCCTGCAATCCAGGGAGAGAAAGCCCTACAATCAAGAGAGAGAGACTCTGCTCTTGATGGTAGCTTGCGAGGAGGGAGTTTTCCTTTTTTCTTTGTATCTCAGATTTCCCTGATTTCTCAGTTTTTCCAATCCAGGTGAAACCCAATGACAGTTTGAAACCCTTCACATAGAGAGAGAGTAGGGTCTGCTGCGAGGAGGCATGTGAGGAGCGAGCTAAGAAAGAGAGATGGAGAGAAAGGCCTTCTTGCGATCCAAGTGAAACCCTTCACGTAGAGAGAGAGAGAGAGAGTAGGGTCTGCTGTGAGGAGGCCTCAATGAAGAGATGAGAGAGTGAGAGGGAGAGAAAGGCCTTCGCTCGATCCAGGTAAAACCCTTCGCGTAGAGACAGAGAGTAGGGTCTATTTCGAGGAGGCCTTCACGTAGAGAGAGAGAGAGAGAGTCTGCAGGAGTAGGTCTGCTGCTAGGAAGGAGCTGAGAGAGAGATGGGTCTGCTGCGAGGAGGCTTGAAAACTGTCAGGCTATTTGTCGGGTGCATTTGTTTAACATCACCATTGAAACTCTCTCGGTGACTGTCATCCGTTCGGCGTTCCCCGAACCCATATGCGAAGGGGCGTATGGGATCATTTATATATATATATATATATATATAAATATGAACAATAATTTTGCCTATCTTCATTACCGTCTAAAGTTTATCGTACGGTCATAATTATTTGATAGTATTTTTTTTTATTTTTTTTATAAATCGGAATGATCTCAAATTTGAAGTGTTTTCACATCTTAGTGAGGTGCATCTAATAAAAATATAAAAATAATAATTCGTAAAAACAAAATTGACCAAAATACCCTCGAAACGTTTTGGGGGTAAATTTATTTCAAGTGAAATATTTTTTTGATATTTTTAGTATATTCTCATATTGTTTCTGAACACACGATCCAAATTTTAGGTCATTCCGATTTATAAAAAAAATGAAAAAATGAAATACTACTTGACAATCGTGACCGTATGATGAACTTTTGACGGTGATTAGGGAAGGCAAAATCACTGTTCATTTTCACCTATAGGCGCTTTGCAGTATCTTCCATATAATTTGAAAAATATAAATTGACCAAATACCCCTGAAAAGTTTTCGGGGTATGTTGGTCAATTTATATTTTTCGAATTATTTTTTTAATATTTTTATTAGGTGTGTCTTGATGAATAGAATCTACATTTAAATTTTCAAGTGATTTAGATTTTTAGAAAAAAATATGAAATAAGGTCGTGACCGTCAATTCGTCCCAGATTTAATCTGGGTCATTGGCTGATACTGTAGCTGTCAACCCATGGACTGACAGCATCCATTCCTTATATATATATATATATATATATATATATAGTAAA